GCTTTCAGCTTACCTGAACCTTCACTTAGTAGCACAATCTCGTCTGCGTACTCTAGATCAGGCAGTCTACCACCTGGGAGTAAATCGGTGCCGTTATCCCCGCACGAAGATAGGGCTGTTTCCACAATCAGATCTGTAACAAAGTTAAATACAAATGGAGAGAGAGGGCAATCCTGTCGAACACCACTATCTGTGGTCAACTCAGGTGAAAATATGTTGTAAGCTCGGACTCAGCTTCGGCTATTATTATAGAGGGATTGCAATAGTGAAATAAACTTCTCGGGTACACCCTTCAGGGAAAGANGAAAGACAGCGCCAGAGTTTAGAGCGGTCGACTGAGTCGAAAGCCGCTTTCAGGTCGAGGAAGATGGAAATGGTGGGTCTACGAAAAGAGCATCTGTGTTCTACGATTTGACGAAGAGTAAAGGTGTGGTCGATACGACCTCAACCAGGTCTAAAACTAGCCTGGTTTTCACGTGTGTACTCTCCACGAGCGGCACACAATCGACGGAGTATGATACCGGTGAAAAGTTTAGAGGCAACGTTAATTAACCTAATTCCTCTGTGGTTTTCACAAGAGGACCTGTCACCCTCCTTGTAAATCGGATATGATCACAGATGCAAATCAGCTGGAATCTGTTCCTCTTCTCACACGGAGCTAAGGAGTTTTGCTAACTCCAAAACTAAGACTGAGCCTCCATCCTTAAAATCCGATGGGGAGAGTCCGTCGGTGCCGGAAGGCTTATACCTTTTGAGATAGCTTAATTCTCGGGTAACCTCTATTTCAGATAGAGGACTGATGTAAACTGGCAGCATTTGCACAGTTGAACCGGGTGTAGGGAGGTCTTGTGCTGACAAGGACCAGCTGAACTGAGCCTTAAAAGGTTCTGCCCAACGTTCAAGACGGTGTTCCTGAGTTTGAAGCAGTGTGCCGTCAGACTCCTTAATTACCTCACTTACGCCTACTTTCCTTGAACCTGTACTCCTAATTAGTCGGAAAAGATTACGACTATCACCGATAGTCGCAGCCTTCTCCATCTCTCTACACTTTCCAACCCACCACTTCTCGCGGTCATTCCTCAGCCTCTTGATGAGCTGGTGTTTAAGGGATTTGCGCGCTTTGTAGTATTTTGAATCCAAGGGAGTGGCTTTGTGAGCGTCCAGTAGGGCAACCGAGGTCGGGGAGATCCATCGTCTTTTATTTGATTGTGTGCCAGAATCTGACGTTCTTTTGATTGACAGTTGAATCACTTTCTTGATTGCTGTCCAGTGCTCACTGAGTCCTTCGACTGATAGTTGCGCTTCAAAGGCCGATTTGCAACCATTCCTGACACTGTATCTTGAGCATCCGTTTTCGGTGGCTTTTCTGCGGTTGTTTATCAGGCGTAGGGAGAATCTCGCTCGTAACAGAGCATGGTCTGTGTCCACGGTTGTTGACCAGTAGAAGCGGCAGTTTTCAATGGACCCTCGCCAGCAGTGGCTGATGGTAATGTGGTCGATTTTAGTCCAACGCCGTGAAGAGGTTGGCGGTCTCCATGTGAAGCGGTGCCGCTTTTTGTGCGAGAAGNTAAACCACCAAGTAGCCTCTCTGACTAGTCCAGGGATCCCACGTGAGCATTGAAGTCTCCAGCGACCACTAAGATGTCCGTTGACCGAGCACTTCGGAGCAGTTGAGAGAGGTACTTGTAGAATTCATCCTTCACTTCTGGTGAACTGCAATCTGTCGGTGCATACGCGGATATAACGAATAAGTATCGACGCTTCGTTTTGTAGCTGTTGACTAGTACTGAACCATCCAGACGTACGGCGCAAAGTCGGCTGTTAACCGGGACCCAATCGAGAAGTGAACGCTCGGCCTTGACACAGCGCAATCCCAACACCAGCAACACCGCGAGCTTCGGATGTTGAATCGCCTGACACACGGAGAGTGAAGCGTGAGGTACAGGTTAGATCTGGAGAACGCAAGATAATTGAAGTAGGGTCCTGAAAGCGTGTTTGGGAGATAGCATACACTTAAATGGAAGGTTTCAAGGGTTCTAGCTAAGGCAGCTTGTTGACCAATCTGATAGTGTGTGGAGATTGAATGCGGTTAAGTGGAAAGGAGATCTTGGTTTAGAAATTCTGATAGCCTCTGAGCGGTTGGCCTCATTAATTGAACACTGAGTGGTATCCGATGGGTGGCGCAAACGGAATGTATCTCTGAAGGTATGCGAGTGAGAAGAGGAAATAGACAGTTGAGAAAGTCGGTTCTCCAAATGGGTACCTAAGACTTTAGGGCACGGCATACTGCGTGGTTGCCCACACCGACGAAGGGGGTTTTCTTTGGGAATCCTAACCGGAGCCTTCGACTCAAACGTCTGACCTACAAGGCAGTGGGGCGTAAATCCAACGCGGGAGCGTGAACGAAACACCCGTGTGGGAGCTTCTAAAGACCTGTGACGCGAGGCCTTCGGTTTTCGGTTCAGTGTGTTGTTCGCTGGTGCGTTGATTATAGGTCAGCTTTGCGGGATCGACCCTTAGTCTCATGCACCCAATGAGACAAGCGGAACGTGGACGGGAAAGCACTTTATTGGCGTGGGGCTGCCCAGCTTGGGTGGGCGGCAGCTGTCCAATGAAATGCGAAGACTTCTCCCACCGTCGAGAGGAAGCCCCAGGTACGCCGCTCCTACGTCCATCTAACGGGGTTTTTTGACCCATAAGCTGTCTCTCACCGTGTTTATTTACTAGAGTGACCTCTCCAGGGGCGGGTGTGGATAGAAAAGGAAGCCAGGAGGTGCCCAAGCAGCTCGCCTTGTGAGACTGACCTTCTTCTGGCCTCTACCCCTTAACCTTTCAGGCTTGATTGGATCTGCGGCTGAGGAGCCATCCTGTATAGCTCGCAGGGCCATTGAGGCGCGCAAGTCATCCTACCACGCCAAGGTGCAGTCTCATCGTGATGGACGGCCTAAGGTGGTGTCGAATGAATGTGTGTTCGGTTGACAGCAAGCTCTGAGGTAGCAGTAAACGGCTAAGGAAAAACGGAATGAACGTGTGTAAACTAGATACCATATGAAAGGTGTTAGCCAAGAATTATTAAAAGAGATGTGAAGATATGAAATCAGTAAAGAAGGCAGCGGAAGGGAACGGAAAAGAGTGAAACATGGAAATCATGGGGCAATCACTCTTACTGCCCTGGTAACAACAGGACTTGAACCAGGTTACGTTGCATGGAGAACTCTGGTTTCATAATTCTATTTGCTACGGGATCCGCAGTTGTCAGGATTTAATTAAGTAATCCATATTATATTCATAAACAATTACAGAGCTTGATCCGATCAACTTATGTTACGCTTATGGCACACTCCTTTCATGCTACGGTATTCTATTATTTCTTCCTTTTCATTTTAATTCCTTTTATTGTATAAACAACGATACAATTTTCAGGAAGG